CCAGCTCGGTCAGTCCCTCACTCCGAGACCCTGGGCACATCCCTTTCCCTCCCTGGGCCTTAGCGTCCCCATCTGTACCAGAGGGCTTGGACCAACTGCCTTGCTGCTCTGGCCTCTGATTTCTCCCTCCCGTTCTACAGAGGGGACGTTTGGCCGGGGGGGAAGCAACCCCAGGCTCACCCTGCCTTGGCCCTCCTCTCCCCAGGAGCATGGCATTCCCACAGACATGGGGTACGCGGTGGCGCCCCACCACTCGGGCGTGTACCCCGTGCACCTGCAGCTGTACGAGGCCTGGAAGCAGGTGTGGAGCATCCGCGTGACCAGCACAGAGGAGTACCCCCACCTGAAGCCGGCCCGCTACCGCCGCGGCTTCGTCCACAACGGCATCATGGTGAGTGGGCCTTGGGGGCTGGGAGGCGGTGTGCACACGTGTCGTGGGACACAGGACTTTGGTGAGCTGGTGAGGAGTTTCGGGCCCGTTTCTGCTGCCCCCTGTGGCATCTGAGGCGCTCTCTCCAGGGGAGGCGGGCTGCTTCTGTGACAGGGCATCAGGGAAGAACATGCTTTAAAGGGGCCTCTGGTGAGGACTTGGGACAGGCCTCTGTGTCGTTCAGTTATGTGCTCATGGGAACGTTTTTCATGAGCTTCTACTTTGTGTCTGTCCCTTTTCTAGGCACTGGGGATACAGAAGTGCACAAAACCAACAAGTCCCTCCTCATAAATGTGTAAAGTGTGTAATGGTCAGACGGTGATAAGTGCTGTGGGGAAAACTCAAGCAGAAGGGAGACAGGGAGTGCCAGGGGAGAGGAGAAGCTGTTTTAAATAAGGTGGTTAGGGAGGGCCTCCCGGGAGTGAGCCGTGCTGCTGCGTGAGGAAGAGCATTCAAGACAGAGAAAACAAGTGCAAAGGCCCTGAGGCCGGCTTGTGCCGGGAGTGTTGGAGGGTCACCTAGGAGGCCAGTAGGGATGGGGGGGAGCGAGTGAGTAGGAGGTGGTAGGAGATAAGGTCAGGGGGCTGATGGACCAGGTTGTGTAGGGCCAGCTAAGGCCGTTGGATGGACTTTAGCTTTTCGTTTGATATGGGAAGATTTTGAATGGAGTGCTGTTACGATCTGACTCATATTTTAAAAGGGTTTCCATGATTCTGGCTGCTCTGTGGAGCAGAGACTGTAGGGGACAAATTGGGAAGCAGGGACACCAGTTAGGAGGCCACTGCAGTCTTCGAGACAAGAGATGGTGGTGGCTTGAACCAAGGTGCAATGCTGGGACGTGATCAGATTCTGGACTTATTTAGAAGTTAGAGCCAGTAGCACCTGCTGATGAGCTGGATGTCCGGTGGTGTGGGAGAGAGAGATGAGTCAAGGATGACTCAAAGGTTTTTGGCCTGAGCCATTGGAAGGATGAGCTGTCATCAGTCTGGATGGGGCAGCTGTAGGAAGGCCAGATTTGTACATTTGTTTGTCCGTCTGTCCATCCATCCACCCATCCATTCATCTGTCCCTCCACTGACCTCCTCAATACCAGGCATTCATATTAACTCTGGGGATGAAGTGATGACGAGACAGGCGAGTACCCTGCTCTCGTGGAGCCCACAGTTTCGTGAGGGGAGACAGGTACTTGAGTTAAACTAGTGCGTGACCAGGGGTGCTCGCAGGCCAGGTTCTAGTGCTGCGAGAGGAGTTGCAGAGCCTGAGTGGGAGAGCTGTTTTAGAGTGGCCCAGCTGCTCGCTGGGCCAACAGGCCAAGTTCCCAGAAATGTGCTCACCTACCTGTCTCTGTTACTTTGGGTCTGCTCATTCTGGGTCAGAATAGCAGTGAAGTATGTAAAATAAGAGCCCCTGGGCTCCCTGGGGGATGGCGCAGGCCGCAGAAGGTCTTTGGGGGAGAAGACCCCCAAGGCTGGGGTCGTGAGGTTATGCAGGAGGAGACACCCTGGCCGTTCTCCTGAGGAAGGGTCCTCCCACCACCATCCATGCTGGAGATGCCATTGCCCCTGTCTCCCTGGCCCCCAGGTCCTCCCACGGCAGACCTGCGGCCTCTTCACACACACCATCTTCTACAACGAGTACCCTGGTGGCTCCAGCGAGCTGGACAAGATCATCAACGGGGGCGAGCTCTTCCTCACCGTGCTTCTCAATCCTGTGAGTGCTCCACAGCCCTCGGCTGGTGGGGAGGAGGGGCTGCCGGACAGCCTGTCTGCAGCCACAGCAGGCCTTGTGGGCTGGGGAGGAGGGGCAGGAGCAGGTGTGGGGGCCGGGAGTGGGGAAACCCACTCTCCAGCCCTGGCTCTATCCCTGCTCTGCTGCAGGGCCTTGGGTAGAGAAGCTGAACTGTCTCTTTTTTCTTTCATAATCTTGCACTTCAACACAATAGCGTTTGCATTTTTGTCCATGTTCTCTTTCTAGTCTTCGTGTGGGTGTGTGTGTATAAATATGTAAATATTATATATTAATATACATAGTAGGCTATGAATACATTAAACTTTATATATATCTATTTTACTTTATTCACCTGAGCTTTCTGGGCCTCTCTTTCCTTCTCTGTAAAATGGAAATAATCGTCCACACTCTAATAATATTAGATAGATGTCAAGTGGTGGTGTTATTCAGCTTTTGGGGGTAACTGAGTACTCCTTATCTTCCATGCACCCCTCACCAAAAAAATACAAAAGAACACTCAAATAACTGTGCAGTAGGTCAGCGTCCCAGGGTTGTAGTTGTTGGAGGTCAGTCAGACCTGGTTACCTGGCTCTGCCTAGCCCAAGGTCACACAGCAAGTTTGTTGACGGCCCCAGTGAACCTTGGACTAGTCATCGAGTAGCCCTCCAAGCTGAAACAAGACCAGAGGGTGAGCAGTGGGGGTGAAGGCAGCTCAGACACTGACTAGCCCCGGCCTCCCACCTCCCCGCCCCTGGAGCAGATCAGCATCTTCATGACGCACCTGTCCAACTACGGGAACGACCGCCTGGGCCTGTACACCTTCAAGCACCTGGTGCGCTTCCTGCACTCCTGGACCAACCTCCGGCTGCAGACGCTGCCTCCTGTGCAGCTGGCCCAGAAGTACTTCCAGATCTTCTCAGAGGAGAAGGACCCGCTCTGGCAGGTGGGTGGGGATGGGGGCCCTGGGCGCCTTGTTCAGGGATGGAATGCCCACCACTCATGGGAACACGCTCCAGGCGTGGGCGCAAGGGCTTAGCCCTCACACCTGCACACACTCTCAAGTAGACACGTGCACACTTGCTCTGCAGCATGGGCACACTCACTTGTTCTCGTGCCCTCGTATGTACACATGTGCTTGTGTGTACACACCTCCCACACAGACCTACATGTCTGCATACTCACACACAGCCTCTGAAAAGCCAGCATTGCAAAACTGTGAGGGAACATGGTGTGGATGAAGTGTAGAGAGTGACTGCCTGGCCTGCTTATGTCTCTTATGCTCCTTCCCACTCCAGCAGGCTCTGAGCCATGGGAAAGGGGACCGTGGGAGAGTTTTGGGGGGCAGTTCTTGGGGAAGTCTGCCCCAAGGGGTTGTCAAAAACTGGAAGCAGAAGTTGGACCTGATAGCAGTCTCACAGTTCAGACCAGGAGTCCACAATCCGTGGCTTGTGGGCCAAATCTGGCCTGCAGTCTGTGTTTGTAAATAAAGTTTTATTGGAACACAGCCACGCTGGTTCTTGTGTTTATTGTCTGTGGCTGCTTTCAAGCTACAACAGCAAAGTTGAGTAGTTGTGACAGAGACTGGATGGTACCCACAGCCTAAAATATTTACTAAACATTTCAAAAGATTTACTAACCTTTATAGACGAAGTTTGCTGACCTCTGGTTGAGACACAGCTCATCCAGTTCAATTCAGCAAGTGCTCGTGAGCTCCTATTAAGTGCCAAGCACTAGGCCGAGCATTCTGCTAGGCTCTGTCGGGCATGAGACTGACCAGAAGTGATCCCTGCCTGCCAGCAGCTCAGTGTCCCACGGTGGGGATGCTGCAGGGGTGCATGTAGTTATGTCTGTCAGTCAGGGCTGTACCACGATCCATGTGCAGTGGGAGTCCAGAGTCCGTTTGCTGGGTTCTGGGGTCCCCTAACATCCCCTCCACTGTTGTTTTAGGACCCCTGTGAGGACAAACGCCACAAAGACATCTGGTCCAAGGAGAAGACATGTGACCGCTTCCCAAAGCTCCTCATCATCGGCCCCCAGAAAACAGGCAGGTCTCTACTCTTGACCAGCCCCCCACTGCCTGCTGGCTCAGCCACAGAGTTCTGGGGACCACCTTGCCCTGGTCACAATCCCCTGTCATCTGACCCTCTTTCCCAGGAAGGGGGAGTAAAGTTGGGGTGACCATGAATTGCCTATCAGTGTGGAAGTGGGAAGGGGGTGGAGGGTGGGATGGGATTCTCCTCTCTGTCCTGAACCGCAGCCTCAGGGAGCTTTCCCTGTGTCCTCCTGGGAGTCTCTGAGTCTAGGCGGAGAAGCCTGGATCAGCTGCTCTGCAAGTCTGAGCAGTGCAAGGCAAAACTGGTTCAGTGCGAAGAGGACTGCGATCAATTAGTCATGTCTGCCAGAGGTGCAGGAGGGAGGAGTGGTGACATGGTTGCTGAGTATTTGCCATGCACGAAGTCTGTAAGGCAAATGGATACTCCCATTTTATAGACAAAAAGCTTGAGGCTCAGGGAAGTTAAGTGACTTCTCCTAACACATTCAGTTAGGAAATGGCAGACCCAGGTTTTGAAACCTGGTCTCTGTAACCCCAAAACTTTTAATCAGCAAACTCTACCATCTCCTTCTCTCCTGGGACCTCTCGTTGTGGCATATAAAGCATAGACCCACACACAGGAAAGTAATGAACTCTCTAAAGGAGGGAGCAGGTCCCATGCTGTCAAATAGGGGAGAGGGTATGAGTGACAGAAGGGCACCCAACGAGGAGGCGTCGGAGCCACATTTCTTAGCCCTTCAAGAGTTTCACATCAACAGACTGGAGGGTCTGGGGCTCCCTTTTTTCTGAATTCCTCCCAAGTGCCAGAGAGGACAGAGGCCCAGAGCTGGAAGGGACCAGCAGAAACCATCTAGTTCTGGGATTATGAGGAGACAGTAATCAATTGGATGTGGCTGCTGGAGTACAGTGGTGAGAAGGATTCTGCTGCCAAGTCCCTGTTTGGTGATGAAAAGTGCTGTGATGGATTAGCAATGTCTACAATGGATGCAGGAGTTGGGGTGGCCACATGCATGCCATGTATTTGCCATCCTGGGTTTAGTATAATTCTTTCACTGTAGAGATAAGGAAACTAAACCCAGAGAAGGGAAGAGACTTTTCCAGGATCTCCCAGTGAGTAATGGAGAGGTAGGACCAGAACCCAGGATTTCAGACTCCATCTTTTTGTTGGGGCTGGGCACTTGTCTCAGCTGTCTTCCGATCCTGCAGGCACCACGGCCCTCTACCTGTTCCTGGGCATGCACCCAGACCTCAGCAGCAACTACCCCAGCTCAGAGACCTTTGAGGAGATCCAGTTTTTTAACGGCCACAACTATCACAAAGGGATCGACTGGTGAGTGGGCCCTTCTGTCCACAGCGGGAGGGGAAGGCCGTTGTGGAGCCTGCCCAGGAGGAGGTCTGCTGTGGCCACAGCAGAAAGCAGCTGGCTCTTGCTCACACACAGCTAAAGTTCCTGTAATCAGGGACAAAATGCAGTGACCCTTGAGCCCTGATTTTGGAGCCTTGTCACAAATGGGACACTTGATGAGGGAGCCCTTTGCCCCTTTGCATTACTGCCTGGGGTAAGAGACTGCTAAAGTCAAAGCTAGCCCCTCCCTTGCTTGCACAGAAACAACATCTTGAGTCCCAGAGGAGGAGAGGGACTCGCCTGAGGTCCCAAGAGCTGGGGACAGAGCAGGGGCTAACATCCAAGTGTTCTGACCCGAGTGCTGGCCCTTCCACTGTGTTTGGCTGATCGTGAGCAGGAAGTGTTCTTTTTTTTTTTTTTTTTTTTTTTCCTGAGGAAGATTAACCCTGAGCTAACATCTGTGCCGGTCTTCCTCTATTTTATATGTGGGACGTAGCCACACTCATGGCTGATGAGTGGAGTAGGTCCATGCCCGGGCTCTGAACCTGTGAACCCCCAGCCGCCCTAGCAGAGCGCACCAAACTTAACCACTGCACCACGGGGCCAGCCCCAGGAGGTGCTCTTGTGAGCCCTTCAGAGGTGGTCACTGGCTTCAGGGAGTTGCCTGGGAAGGTGGTTAAAATTGCAGCTTCCCACCAGAACCTGTCACCAGAGGTTACCTCGCAGTGTGGGGGCCACATGGGCCTGGTTTTACTCTATGATTTTTCAGTTTGCATCTTTCTGTACTGTTTTTCTTTTCTAGCCTTATACATGTATTACTCTTGGTTATTATTTTTATGTCAGTAGTTTACTTGAGTGGAGAGTTATGGGCATTCTTCTGTTTGGTTTTTGGTATTTTTCTGTGTGTATTCTCTCTCTCTCTCCTTTGTCTGTCTGTCATGTCTCTGTCTCTCTACCTACTTACCTGTCTGTCTGTCTATATCTCTAATATGCCCACAATCTCTTATCTAAAAACCGCTGTAGCCAGATGTATTATTGGAAGTCAACGTTCTTCAGATTTTAGAGAGATAATATGGTGTGACACCATATATTTAGCAAGACTTGCAGCAGGGCCTGGGGTAGCACCCCATTAGCAAATACCTTAATGTCTGTAGCAAAGTATGTGAATATTTATGCTAAATAAGATTAATAAGTCAGGTTTTGTTGCTAAATGGCTTTGCTACAAATTTATGGAAAAAAGCTGTTCTCGGAGCTTTCTCAATTTAGGTTTTACAAACAATGGATCGTGGACATGCAAAAGTTGTTTTATAAAGATAGCAATTCCTCAGCCCTATTACCACTCTTGATTTTGTAGGTAGGTGTATGGGGGGATGCAGGAATCTCACAAGCCTGCAGGTGGTTTTGATAAATGGGGTCCCGGGATCACCCTGGAGAAACCCTGTCCTACAGGATGGAGTAGGGATCTTACACATTTAACTAGGGTGGGTCTTGTGGGCTTTGGTTCCCACAAACCCCTCAAGTTGTACCTCTCTTTTGCGTAAGTAGGTGTCCCTGGGGGGGTCTGGAGTGTTCGTTAGTTTTCTGAGGGGCCCTCAACCTAGAGGTGGTCGCAAAGGACTGATGTGGACGGTTGCTCTGAAATAAGGGAGGTTCATCTGGAGAGCTGTCAGGCTCACCCATATGAGGCTGGGGAGGCGGGTATGGGTATCAGGAGGTGATATCTCCCCTCCTTGTCTCCTGGTCCACAGTGTGCTTAGAAAGTGCCATCCCAGGTCAGGAAGGAAACCCTGCACTCTGGAGGCAGCAGAGGGTGTCCCTCCCTTTCCCTGGGTCAGAGGTAGAACTGCTTGGAGTCCCAGCTCGCCCCCTAGAGGCAGGGAGAGTTAGGGCCCTGTCAGTTTAACTAGGGGAGCATCCTGTTAGGATGGAAAGACACAACCCCCTTCCCATACCCCGCAACCCATATCATACCCATAAATCTTCAGATCCTCCTGACCCTAAAGTCTCCCCAGAAAAGGCATGAGTTTGGAAAAGGGAGACTGCCAAGTGTCCATTCTGTCTAGAATCCCTGCCAGGGAGCCATGTGCCCTGCTTGCTTCCGGAAGCTCTACCCTCAGTGACCTTCACCCTCTCGTGCTGTGTTCCTCAAGCCTCTTCCTCATGAGTCTGGCCTGTGAGCCCCCCTCTCTGGGCCTTCTGCAGGTACATGGAGTTCTTCCCTATCCCCTCCAACACCACCTCTGACTTCTACTTTGAGAAAAGCGCCAACTATTTTGATTCAGAAGTGGCCCCCCGGCGGGCAGCTGCCCTGTTGCCCAAGGCCAAGGTCCTGACCATCCTCATCAACCCAGCAGACCGGGCCTATTCCTGGTACCAGGTGAGCCGGGGCTGGGGCGGGGCCCTCGGTGGGGGTTGGGGCTCTGCCTGCCACTCTGCTACTCACCCATTCATTCAGCAAATGTTTACTGTGCCAGCCCTAAGCTACCCTCCTGGAATGTGGTGGTGGGTAAGAATAGAGTCTTGCCTCCACAGTGCTTCCAGCCTGGTGGAGGAGACAGGCGGAAATCGATGTTGACTTCCAGTCATCAGTTACCTGCCCACCCTAGCTTTGTCTGGCGTCCTGCCTCTGATTCTGGCACCGGCAGGAGGTGGAGGCTCGTTCCACCTTGACAAAGCCTAGATTTGGCCAGTAGTGATCTGGGCTCAGGCTAACTGTGGCCTCCTCGCTGGGCACGGGGTAGGGGTGGGAATTCAGAGAAGGACAAGACACAGACCTGCCACTCTTAGTGGAGGATGGAGATGCTTGATCAGGTAAGGACGTTACCTGGACTGCAGTCTGTCCTAGAGAGGGTATGACTCCTAGTCCCTACCTGGCTACGTAAGGACTAGAACTTTCTTTAATTTTGATGACCTGACTTAATTTCTTCTGAGCAGCATTCCCCTGGGCTTACGGGAAAGCTTAGGTTTGGGCCTTTTGGGGGTTTCCTCCCCTGCCTGCCGGTCTTCCTGGGATTATGCCACAGGGCCAGGGTGGTGGGAGAGACCGGGTTGGTCTACCAGCCGGTCAGGAAGGCAATCTCAGGCCTGGCCACTTGCAGCAGCTTCCTGCCACCCCTGAGCATGTTCATCTGGGTGCTTCAGATGGCCGTCTCCTCTCTGGGGCCTCACTGTGGCCACAGGGCTGGCAGGGAGCTGGCTGCAGAGCCTCTTTGCTCTCTGGTACCACAGACCTCCCCACCCCCACTCCTTACCCTGAGCTGTGTATGGTCCTCAGTGGGAGTGAGGGCGCTGGTGAGGGTTACCCCCTGGTGGGCAGGTCCCTGATCTCTGGACTTTGGGAATTCTGTGGATGCCGATGGCCCATGGCATTATTTTAGGGGGTTCAAGCCTGGCATTTTTCTGTTTCCACTTCTTTCCCAATCCTTCTGTCTTAGTCTGCTCAGACTGCCATAGCAAAATATCATAGATTGGGTGGCTTAAACAACACAAATTTATTTCTCACAGTACTGGAGGCTAGAAGTCCGAGATCACGGTGCCGGCTGATTGGGTTCTGGTGAGAGCTCCCTTCCTGGCTTTTAGACAGCCACCTTCTCACTGTGTCCTCACAGGCAGAGAGCGAGCAAGTGAGCTTTCTGCTGTCTCTTCTTAAAAGGTCACTGATCCCATCACGAGGGCCCCATCTTCATGACCTCTTCTAAACCTAATTACTTCCCAAAGGCTCCATCTCAAGTAACATCACACTGGGGGGTTAGGGCTTCAACATATGAATTTTGGGGAGGACACAAACATTCAGCCCATAACACCTCTAATTTCTATAAAGGAGAAATTCTCAATTTCTGCAAATGGCTCTTACGTCCTTGCTAACACTGCTAAGCTCTGTTTTAACAAAGAGAGTGCAAGCTTTGGCTTCAGGGCCTGTAGCAGACATTTGTGTCTGGCTGGTGTTTGAGAACATTGCTTTATTTTTATTGTATTTATGAATGATTACCTTCTATATATGACATATATGATAACTGATCTTAGTTTTCCATTTATGGAGTCGATAGTTTTATTTCGAAATAAATTTATGTGAATAAGAAAAACGAGTCAATGTAAAGAAAAGTATGCTGACATTGGCACCTACGGGTGGTTGGTGGATATGGTAGAAATTGCAGAGATGCTGTGCAAATGACCAACATTTGGAAACTCTGATCTAGTCCAATTCCCATCTTGCAAAGATGGGGAAACTAGGGCTCAGAGGGGCCAGTGACTTCCTTAAGGTCAAAGGGCAGTGAGAGCAGAGCCAGGACTGGAGCCCAGGGCTCCTGGTTCCAGCCCAGGATCTCATGGCTGCTGTCCCACAAAAGCCTCTCCCTTTGTGCCCTCCACGTGACGTGCTGACCCTCTCCCCTTGCCCACAGCACCAGCGAGCCCACGATGATCCAGTGGCCCTGAAGTATACCTTCCACGAGGTGATCACGGCTGGGCCGGATGCGTCCTTGAAGCTGCGCGCCCTCCAGAACCGCTGCCTGGTCCCCGGCTGGTACGCCACCCACATCGAGCGCTGGCTCAGCGCCTTTCACGCCAACCAGGTAGCTGCCTATCCTTGACCCTTGGGAGGGCAGTCACAGTGCTGGCTTGTCGCAGTTAGCAGAGAACCTCAAAATCTCTTTCACCAGTCACGGGGCCAGAAACGCCGTCACTAGCGAGTTAGACCTTTGGGTTCTTCAAAAGTTATAGTCTTGTTTATCCCAAGGTTGATGTGTAAGAATTCCCCAAGCCCTTGTCCATCACAACAGGCTCTGTGTCCCTAAGGGGACCCAGAAAGCCCTGAGGTAGGCCCCTAGGGGTGGGCAGATGGGGTGTGGTGATGGAGGGAGAGGTGGGCAGGGCCGGACCACACGAGGCGTTTCAGGGAAACTCTCGGAGGATTTAGGCAGGAGAGTGATGTGTGGGCCGGAAGCTTGGAGAGAGGCAGAGAGGGATGCTGCAGGGATGTGAGGGGCAGGCAGGGTTTGGGTGAGAGCGTCAACTCTAGGAGAGAGTGACTTCGGTCAGGGGAAGCTGGCAGAGGGCAGGGAGGTAGACTGCAGAGGACTGAGGCGTGCGGACACCTACTGTTCAAAGGTGGAGGAGGAAGCAGCATCTACAGAGTGCAGGGTCCCCAGTTTGTAACCGTGGCTGCCGACGGAGAAGACTTGGGGCCTGTTTGCTACTAGAGTGAAAACAAGTTCAGATCATCCTTCTCTCTTTTCTTTTTTTCCAGATTCTGGTCTTGGATGGCAAACTGCTGCGAACAGAACCTGCCAAAGTGATGGACACAGTGCAGAAGTTCCTTGGGGTGACCAACACCATTGACTACCACAAAACCTTGGCGTGAGTATTGCCTTGGCCTTTCAACAGGGGGATTTCCAGAGCAGGCACCCGGGCCAAAAAGCCAAAGGCTTGAATGATTATGGAAGAGACACAGATTAATTAGTGTCAGCAAGTGTGAGAAAGTATGCATGTCCCTGCTGGCAGTTTAGCAGAAAAGCTAATATTAATATGACTTGAGTCATATTAATACAGGTATCAACTCAAGACAAAAAGAGGTGTTGAATCTATTCTACTTAGGTAAGTTCTACCCCTGGGGTGTTCTTTTCAGTCTGGGCTGAACATTTTCAGGGTGTTTTATCTAAATAAGTTAGACCAACAATGAGCATCGCCAATTCCCACAAGGGTTTCTTAGCATTAGATTATCACTTAAATGTAATTTCAAGAAAAGGAAACTATAAATATTGTTGATGGCTAATAATCCCGCTCACTCAGAACCCAGTGCAGGTGCACTGAGAATGCCTCCCAGGATGAGTAAGTGCCAGCCTGTGTTGCGGGGGCTCAGGGCTGGGGAGAGGCCATCTCTCAGTGCTGGGTCACAGACAAGTGACACAGCTGGATGAGGGGGTCTCAAGAGAAGGAGTAATAAAGTCACCTTCCCTGGTTACCTTCTGGGACAGTCTTGCAGCAAAATGTTCCCTTCTCTCTATCCTGGAAGTTGAAGGTGGAGAAGGGAAGTTAGTCCTTCACCTTGAGGCGGGAAGAGCAGCAGCTAAGGGTGTGGGCTGTGGGTTAGGATCCCAGACCCACTGCTTCTTTAGCTGTGTGACCTTGGACAAGTGTCTCAGCTCCTTCAGGCCTCACTTTTCTCATCTGTAAGTTTGAGATAAAGGTAGTAATTCCCACCTCCCGAGGGTCACCTGTATTGAATGAAAGCATGCACGTTGAGCTCTTAGTTCAGTGCCTGGCGTGTACTAATGCCCAGTAAACGGTGGCTGCTATCATCATCATCACCATCATCATCACCATTACCACCATCATCACCATCACCACCACCATCATCATCATCACCATCACATCAGCATCATCACCACCATCACCACCATCACCATCATCATCACATCATCACATCACCGTCATCACCATCACTATCACCACTACCATCATCATCACCATCACCATCACCATCATCATCACATCATCACATCACCATCACCACCACCACCACCATCATCATTATCATCACATCACCATCATCACCATCACCACCACTATCGTCATCATCATCACATCACCATCATCACCATCACGACCACCACCATCATCATCATAATCATCATCATCACATCACCATCACTATCACCACCACCATCACCATCATCACATCATCACATCACCATCATCACCATCACCACCACCATCATCACCACATCACCACCATCACCATCACCACCACCACCATCACCACCACCACCA